GACAAAAACAAACTAGCCCCTCCCCCACCCATACACATGCCCCTTAAAATTTACCTGCTATTCGTAGGCCTTTTTTCTATGACCAGAAGAATTTAGGTAATGTCTCATGCTATTTTTTTTTTTTTAAAGAATATTTCATTAGGTAGTGGGAACTGAGTTTTCTTTCTTTTCTTTTCTTTTTTTTTTATGTAGTTAGTACAGGGTCTACAGGGTTTCATACCACAGATCAGATTTGTAGTGATCCTTCTTGTTTTCCAGCCTCCCAAGAGCTGGGATTACAGGTATGTACCACCACACCCACTCTCATTGCCAGCTCAGCACGCCCAGGGATAGGGCCAGTTCTGCAGACCTGGGATTGAACCCCTGGTCCCTGTGTTTGTCTAAGCAGGCACTTTAATTCACTGAGCTATCTGGCTGGCCCCAGAACTGAGTTTTCTAAATATCATCCAGTATCAGATGACAAGCCTATCCTATAAGAATTCTGGCACCTAGGCTGGCCTTACCTCTTGATGATCCTACTAAGTGCTGGGATTATAGGCACGAGCTGCCACACCCACCCCTCCTGCCTGTTCTCTCTAATCCTCCTCCCCTCTCCTTCCCTCTCTTCTTCCTCTCTCCCCTCCCTTCCTCCTCTCTTTTTTCCCTCTCCTCCTCTCCCTTCCCCTTCCTTTCTCTCTCCTTCCTCTTGGTGGTGATATTATAGATAGCTGAGTTAGGTAGGGACATTATAGGCAGTCAGGCAGAGCTGGCCCCTCAAGAGAGTCAAGACAAAAGGTGAAAACACACTAACAATGGCCACAGATGTGTCAGTTTGAGGCTAAACTTCTAAATAACAACAGCCAGGCATAGTGGCCCATGCCTGTAATCCCAGTATCCAGGCTGAGGCAGGAGGATCATGGTGAGTTTGAGGCCAGCCTGAGCTATGTAGTGAGTTGAAAGATAGCCTGAACTACATAGTGAGACCCTGTCTCAAAAAACAAGAACAAGGACAAACCTCAAAGGACAAGGCCTACATACTTCTCGAGGGACAATTAGTAACACCTAATCTAATAAAATCTAGATAGACATGAATTACCTCAGTAGGAAACCAAGGCCCCTGGATCCATCACCTACCCAAGAAGTTCTTTCCATGCCCACTCACTATGTGACTTACTTCCCCATTGGATCAGTATTACCTAAGTAGTTATGTTTATAATCTTTTTGGTTAACGATAGCCATAATCCATGTTATGACTCATTGTTGTGCTCTATAAAACTTCTCCTGAGAAGTGGAGTCCTCAGGCAGCCCACTGAGTGTCTCCTCCATCACAGGCAGGAGATTTCTATCCCTCAATAAATATTCCTTATTTATAAAGGGAAAAAAAATTAATGTGTGTCCTCATCCACCTTATTCACTGGATCTGACACATGTAACGGCTGCCTTTTCCCAAGTCAAAATGAACATGAAAAGTAAATGTTTTGAATCAATTCAGGCTGTGGAGGCAGTCATGACAGCAAATTAGACACTCATGAGAGCAGGCTTCCAGAACGCTTCAGAGTGGCAAAAACGATGGGTAAGTGTTTCATGCCAGGGAAATTAATGTCTTTTAAATTTTCAAAAATGTAAGCATTATCTTCTGATCATATCTTTTACATTATCGTATTAACTACTTTTTTTCCCTGTTCTGACAACAGGCTCCCAAGGGGTGAGTCTTACCAGCTCCACCGCTGAAGCATCAAGTGTTACTAAAGCACCAACTGTTAAACTCCTTCCACCCAAGCGTTTTTGCAGACCTGCCAATCTTCACATCTGGGGAGTTTAGGAGAAATGAAGCACTGGCTTGCTGTATTCTTTGCCACACTGATACTGAAAATTAATTCTTTTATCAGGTTAAAGTTTATTGTCTGTATTAGTAGTACGGATGTTCTTAACAGGCCTCTGAATTTACTAAGCTACAACAGGCCCAAACAGGTAAAAGTCGCATACCTGAATTACATTTCTTGGAGATGCTGTTTTAAAGTTCCGATTAAAGAATTTTTGTTCAGCTCCTTTATCACTCACCTTCATCTATACTCTTGCTCGCAAGGCCACCCGCTCATCATCTCAGGTTCTTGGGACTAAATTCTTAAGCCTTTTTATGATGAGCATGGAAATGAGCATGGGAAGGCCAAGAGTACTGACTGCTCGTTTAAATTGCCAGGAAAACCTGCAAACTCACCAGTAAGCTTTTGAGTTACTCAGCATATTGGGGTTGATTTTGTAAACCTCAGAAACACGCAGCACAAGCCACTAACATTAAGCCCTTAGACCTGGTTTCCCCTTTAGCGGCTAAGAGTGGAAAATCAGGATAGACAACTGGGCAGGGTTAGAACTTTTACATTGCGCTGAGATTTACTTGGGTCCTAAGGCAGTTAACGTTATGAGCTGCCCTTTGATACCAGGTCGCCACAAGACAGCACCCCCTCTGAAGTCCTGCTTGCGCTACACAGCGAAGGTAGGGAAGGCGAGCGGCCACTTTCAACCTGAGCTGTCAGCGCCGTCGCGAGCTCTTCCTTCCTCGCAGTTTAAGTTCCCACCATCCAGCTGTCCTTAAATAGTGCTTCAGCCACCTACTCAAGTCGGATTACCACTCCTGCCACTGCAAAGTAGCCAGCTCTTTTGGAACTGCGTGGGTGGCCCTAAAAAGGGCCGTTGGTAGTGAAGACAAGGCAGACGCTCCGCTCAGCCTCCAAAGCCGTACAGGGTGCGGCCCTGGCGCTTGAGCGCGTAGACCACGTCCATGGCGGTGACGGTCTTGCGCTTCGCGTGCTCGGTGTAGGTGACGGCGTCACGGATGACGTTCTCCAGAAACACCTTCAGGACACCCCGGGTCTCCTCGTAGATGAGACCAGAAATCCGCTTGACACCGCCACGGCGAGCGAGACGACGTATAGCGGGCTTTGTAATTCCCTGGATGTTATCTCGCAAGACCTTACGGTGGCGTTTAGCGCCACCCTTACCAAGTCCCTTCCCGCCCTTTCCTCTCCCGGACATGATCTCGGCAGTGGAGAAAGACAACGTACTGCAGCCCCGTGCGGCTCCCCGCTAATATACACGGCGGGCGGACCAGGTTGAGGACTGGAAGAGCGCGAGCCGGAGGAGGTAGCCTGGGTGCCCCGCCCCCCTGCCGCCTCGCGTTTCTTTTGTTTCCGGCTCGCTTTGCCGGAGCTTCCTCCGATTGTTGCTTTTCTCCTTTGTATTCCCCCTCTCTTGTCTCTTTTCCTTTGTGTCTGTCTTTCAACAATTGGTACGCGGTGGTCTCTGGGAGAGCTCAGATCCCAACGCACACAGCTTCCGGATTCCGCAGTCTGTGTGCCTCTGTTTCAACATCAGGCTTTCGGGAAGATAAGAAATTGAGGGCAAAAAGAAAGGTCTGGTGGGCGAAGACTGGAGGACGAGCAAGTGGGAGTTCAGAGTTGGACAGGCGAGAACGCCCGCGCCGAACCTCATAGACCCGAGAGTTCCCAACGCGGCTGCAGAGAGCTAGCGTGGTGGCTCCCCGCTGCGTGTGGGGGCGTGGAGGGGGCTGTGATTCCGGAGTCGGGTCACTTTTGTTGGTCCCATAGGCCCCGTGTCTCAGCTCAGTCAGAAGTCGGGCTCTAGGAAAATTGATCTCAGAAACCTGCCAAGCGCCCCGTGGAGGCCTGTGAATCCCCAACCACGTCCTCTGAAGTTCTGTTGAATGTACTGTGCAATTTAGAGGAGACCCGAGTCTGCGATCGTACAGGTCCCCTAAAATCGGCCCTGTTTTCACCCAGGACTCAGTGCTCAGACTGTCCTGGCTAAGCACTGCCCTCTCTGCTGCGGTCAAAGTGTGCTGCTTTGGCTTTCGCAGGACACTAGTTCTGGGCCGAGAGGCGCTATCAGAACCTGCCCGACGAAATGGGTCGAGGGTCTTACTAGCATGTTCATTGCTTTTCTAGCGCCTTCTGTAGGAGAAGCTGTGAGAAAATGCGCTGATAATTGCATGAGAAGTAATTTTTCTTGAAAGATATTTTAGGGAGATCTTGTTTCATCTCTGCTGGCGCCAGCTACTTTCCACATGCTGACGAGTCCCAGATCTGCGTCCAGACCTATGGTCTCCCTACATGGAAATCCATTTGGTGGTTCTTCAGTTATTTGAAACTCAAAGCTCAAGATGAACAAAAATCAAAATGTTTAAATTTATTATTATTTTTGATACTATTTTTTGGCTATGCAGTTCAGACTCGTAGTGATCCAACTGTGTCAGCGTCCCCAGCGCTGGGATAACAGGCATGTGCCACCACGCCTGTCTGTGGCTGGCATGGTGTTTCCCGGGGGGGGGGGGGAGCCACACAGCATGTGATACCTGGGTTCGAACCCCTGTCCTTGTGCTTGCCAAGCAGGCGCTTAGACCCCCGAACTCTCCCCAGCCCAAAATGTTTAAATTCACAATCACCGCGTGGAGGACGTATTCCCACCCAAAGCACAGCTGTCATCTTTTCAATGAATGGAACCACCAAGCCTCACAATCTACATGCTTAAAGCTACACCCTAGAATTCACAATAGGTCTCTTTTCTCCTGGCTACTTCTGTGTCCTGTGTAAGCTCAATAATCCTTTACAGAATGAACAGTTCCTGCATTGACCACTTTTAAATACTGGTAAGAAAGACTTAACCAAATTGTAGTATGATAAAAACAACCGCAAGCCAAGGCAGGCGGGACTGATGCTTTTTGGTATTAGAGGGATAGGAACCTCAGTGGAATAAGAGCTAGAGTGTCCTTTTGGAGGGTTTCATGATAAGCTACCCCAAAATATGCCACATAGGAAAACATTGGCATAGGAAACATTTTGAGCCAGGGTCATTTTAGTTCCTGAAATTGTTTATTTGTCTAAAATCAGAGACTCCTAAAAAAAAAAAACCTGAGTTTTTTTACTCAGTTGTTTAACATATGTGGTAACAACCCCAGTTTTCTGTTTTTGGAGACTAGAAGTTGGTACGATACGGAACCAGTCATTGTCACAAGACTATCATTTTTCTTTCCTTCTAAGGGCTAGTTTTCTAAAAATAATTTTTATTTTATTTTCTCCCTTTCCCCTACTAAGTTAGGAACATATAGTCCAAATTTTAATCACCTTTGATTTACTCATCTTTTGGGTGCTCCATATGTGTTATATCTTGTGTTTAATTGTCCCCCCTCAAAGCTTCATGTGGTCATAAGTGGGGCTTTTTCAGAGGTGGCTGGTCTAGAGTATGTGATGCAGGATTAAGTATGTGTGATTGCTAAATTAGTCCAGTGATTGTTTTGGCATAGTTCAGAGTATGAGCAATGGAAAGGCCCACCGTGGGTGTGAGTGCTACCTGACTGAAGGGTGTGTGGCCAGGGTAGACTACAGGGGACAGAAAGAAGGCTGCTATTGCCACTTGCTTCCTTGTTGCCACCCTGCTTTGCTGCCTTCCTGCCTTCTTCCTGCCTGCCATGAGAACTGTTTCTCCTTTGTGATGTCCCTCTGCCATTCCACTCTGCCTTGAATCCAGTCAACTAGGAACTAAACTGAAACCTCTATAAAATGAGCTAAATAAACCTTTCTTCCTTTAACTTTGGGTGTCAGTAATGAGAGAAGTAACTCAGAAATACATATGCTGTATTAAAATGCACATATTAAAAAATCACTGCATTTTAGGGCTGGCCAGATAGCTCAGTGGACTAAAGCGCCTGCTTAGGCAGAACCCAGTGCCTGGGGTTCGATCCCCTGCATGCCATGCTGGCCCTGCCCCCCGGGGCATGCTGAGACAGTGATTGAGGCTTAGTGTGGTGGCGCAACTGTAATCCCAGTGCTTGGGAGGCTGAAAACAGGAGAATCACTATGAGCCCAATCTACATAGTGAAACCCTGTAGACCCTATACCAAATACAATTTTTAAAAAAAAAATCACTGCTTTTCTTTTCCTTTTCCTTTTTTTTGAGTCAAGGTCTCACTAGGTCAAGTTGTTTTTGAACTCTTTGAACTCTTGGTGAATCTTCCTGTCTCAGCCTCTTGAATGCTGAGATTATAGATGTGTGCCACCGTGCCTGGCTTTGTTTTTCTCTTTTTTAAAAATTTATTTTACTGAGAAACAAATAGCAATGAGACAGTTTCAAAACCAATTAGTGGGACAGTTTCAATAATTAATGCATTGCATATTGTTGTTTTCGTAGTGGTTATTCATAATACAAGATGCAGACATGATATCCTGTCCAAACACTATTTGTACAAATCTTTCTTCTCATCGAATTAAGAGAAAGTAGCTGTATATCTATCCTATTTTGTATATAAAGATAAAAAATAGTCCTTCATTTATATCCCATTTTTTTGTTTAGTTTTGTCAGAGATGGGTATTCCATTGCCATTTAAATATTATAGGTGCGTGAATTCAACAAAATAATCCAATATAGTCCAGTAGTCCATAATACTAGTGGGTTATCCATAGGACTGGCAATGTCAGAAGTTTGTTTTTCTCCTACTGATCTATATTTGGTCATAGGATCAATTCTAAAAACCTATGAAGGTTAAAAAAAATTTGTTTGGTTCACAATATGTGTGAAAAAGTCCTTACAGTATAAAGTTCTTAACATATTTACAAAGTGTAGCCTTGAATAGTCCTCAAGTTGGCTAGTGGAATAAAACTACTTTATTTTGTATAGCTTTGAAGTAGACTATTACTTCATTGTATATTATAGTGGAATATGTCAGAATAAAGCAAGAAATTGTATAAATTTGAAGCTGTGCCATATTGGCAGTAAGTGTTAAGGATCAATATATTACCAGCTGTTGGGGATGCTGGAGTCTTCTTCTGGAGGTGGCTTTTTATCCTGGGCCAAAATAAAATTGGTTAAGACAAGCACAAGTTTGTGCCAAGTAAAAGTAGGAAATGAAGTACACACTACAGCCTGAGGAGGAGCCGCCATGCGAAATCAAGCAGTGGCAAAATCCCAGTGTGGCCTGTCTTCTCTGCATCACCCACTCCTCAGGCTGAAGCCAGGTCGGGGCCCTCCGATGGAAAACCTGCTGGAGTTCTCGCGAGAAGTCTAAGTGCGGGGCTTTGGGGGCTGTGTTCCAACTTGGTGACTCCTTTCCCAGCCAGTGTGAGCCACGCCCTACCTTCTTGTCTCAAGCAGAAAGGAGAATGGTGTCAACTTTTTATCCAGTGATGCAGGATATTGAAGAAGTGAATTTATCTCAGAATTGGGTAAGGAAAAAAAAAAAAAATCTCAAAATCCTATGGCTTCTGAGTTTGGCCCAGGGCTGCAGGTCAGTGAAAAGGAGGAAATCGCGCGCTGGACCTGGCCACGCAGACTCAGAGGTCTGAGCGGGGAATACTCCAGCCCTGGACAAACTTGAAGCCAGAAATCAGGTACGTACTATCTTCTTGTAACATCTATTTTAAATTAGTTTACTACTTTTATATTAAAATAAATACTGTATATCACATAACTGTTTATTAAAATTTTCTGTTTTATATCCTGTGTAGAATATCTGAAGCATCTGCGATTTGTCAACCTAGCCCCCGGCCCACTCCATATCTAATAAAATTCAAAGTGCAAACCTTTATAATTGCTCATGAAAATGACAATCTCCCCCATAGCTTCAGAGAAGCAGAGGTTCTTCTGCACCACAAACCTACTTTTGATAAGTAATAGATTGAAAACTTTCATAGGAATATTGCTCTACAGTCCAATGTGAGGTCTAAACCGTGATTAAAGGTGATTTCTGAGGGTGTGAGAAGTTTTTGTATTCTGACAAATATTACTTATAACCGTTTAAAGTTTACTATTTCAATTGATAATTTTATTTAAATTGTTGCCCTGAGTAAATATTTAAGTTGACATTCTTATGACTAAAAAATTAAATCAGAGGAAGACTCTTGGAATTTTTTTTATTATGTTAAAAATCCTGTGACACTTGGATTCTCCATTTGAATAGAACAGTTTCCTTTCATCCTCAGCAGATGTTCTAAGAAGCCTAGGCAATGTCTTAGGCTAAAATATTGAAACTCATGTAACAGTGCTCTGGCTCATACTATAAACCATGTATACTTGTGGTAAAGTTTGTAAGTTAGCACAGTAGTAATGAAATAGGACATTCTTCATGCATAAGCACATTATTTTGCTTTAGAATATTACAAATCATTTTTACTTACCCAGACAAACCATAATTTCTGAGTCTGTTTTCCTACCTGTAAAGTGAGGCAAGTTACTCCTGTTTCACAAAGTTAGCATTAAATGACACAGTGTAGGTAGAACTTTCAAACCCTTCACTGTGGGACACCAGTAGAAAACCACCACAGGAAGGACAACAGTTGTTCACACCAGTCACACTTCTGCATGCCATTTTAGAGCTCCTTGGAGGACCCTGCATCTGCTCATGAGAGATTCTTAAGATATTAATTAAGCTAATGATTTTCTACATTCTTCAGGAAAACTTCCTAAGATCACTTTTACTTTGATTTTAGTAGGAAGATGATTCATATTGTCACTGTCAAGATTAGTTTTAAGCCTCTTGAATCTGCATTGGTTCTTAAGTTGAATTTTCATAAGGTTGTATGTAATGCTTTTTTTCTTCTCCTTCTCCTTCTCCTTCTCCTTCTCCTTCTCCTTCTCCTTCTCCTTCTCCTTCTCCTTCTCCTTCTCCTTCTCCTTCTCCTTCTTCTTTTCTTTTTTTGGCAGAACCGAGGATTGAACTGAGGCCCTTGTGTCATCTCCTGGGCCCAATGGGTTTTTCAATAAAACAAGCATATAATTAAAAGTTTTACATGAACTAATATGACTTTTACATTATCAGTACTTTTTATATAAGTCAGTGTTTTATGCTGTAGCCTGAACAATACTCAAAGCATATAGTATAACTAAAAGGCAAAAGATCTTTACTGTCCTTGTGGAAAACATAGAAAATATGAAATATGTACATAATAGAAAACATTTTATCCTTACTGAAGAAAATATGAGTAACTCAGAAATAATGAAACATTTTGTTGTTGGCGGTCTTTTTTGAGACAGGATCTTGCTATGCAGTTCAACTGGCCTTGAGCTCACTTTGTAGCTCAGACTGGTCTCAGGCTCGCCACTATCCTGTCTCAGCCTCTCTAGTGCTGGGACTAAAGGCATGCGCCACCACGCTGTGCGAAAACATTTGTCTTAAACTTCATTTCAGTGTCCTATGGCTGATAAGGACTTGACTAGAAACTATTCTTCATTGTAAAGAAGAACTTAATATTTCTAGTCTTACTCTTTTTTGACTTAGAAGCATTTTCTATGCAGGCCCTAACTGGCCTTTGACGAAGGGGCAAGAGAGAAGAAGCCTCATTCCTGGGGGAAAAGGCTAAAGGAGGGCAGAGCCCCTACGGTCAAGTTGGTCAGTAGCAGGGCGACAAAATGGGCGCTGGTTAGGGTCAGAAGTCAGGTAAGGGTAAGTTTAATTTTTTAATCTCTTAGAAATATTGTTTTATTCTGCTTTAGTGATCATGTGCTACATTTAAGTGTGGAGCACAGGGCCGGGCTCTACATAAAAAACTATGGGAGGGGTGTTACAGTAGCAGGTGACTTGAAACAAGCTGAACCTTAGTTCATAGAAAGGCATGCTGTTTTTCAGAAGGAACCTGTTAAAATATAAAATATACAAAAGTTTCTAAATTTATATTATAAAATATACACCAACTTAAAGGAAAGGTCTTCAAAAAACTATCCTTGGATGGGTAAATTATAGAAAAAAAGGGCGGAGAAGGAATAAGAGGTTAGCGTACTTTTCTCAGCATCAGTAAATAGGATTGAGTTCTAGCCAATCAGATCAGAATTCTAGAAATTCCTCCTTTCTAGCCCAATCAAGACGAGGCTATGTCTATAAATATGTCTGCCCAATCCTGTCCTTGTTGAAAGAGAGCTATGGCGCGGACGAAGCAGACCGCCCGTAAGTCGACCGGCGGCAAGGCCCCGCGGAAGCAGCTGGCCACCAAGGCGGCCCGCAAGAGCGCGCCGGCCACGGGCGGCGTGAAGAAGCCGCACCGCTACCGGCCCGGCACCGTGGCGCTGCGCGAGATCCGGCGCTACCAGAAGTCCACCGAGCTGCTGATCCGCAAGCTGCCGTTCCAGCGGCTGGTGCGCGAGATCGCGCAGGACTTCAAGACGGACCTGCGCTTCCAGAGCTCGGCCGTGATGGCGCTGCAGGAGGCGAGCGAGGCCTACCTGGTGGGCCTGTTCGAGGACACCAACCTGTGCGCCATCCACGCCAAGCGCGTCACCATCATGCCCAAGGACATCCAGCTGGCTCGCCGCATCCGCGGGGAGCGGGCCTAGGAAGCGCACGCTCCGACCCGCGTCTCGTCCGTCGTCCACAAAGGCTCTTTTCAGAGCCACCTACGTTTCCATTAAGAGATGCTGTATCAGTTTCAGCAAGGTTTACTGCCCATCAATGTCCTGAGCAGAGAAATAGGGAGCAATCTCCAAAGTGGGTGGTATGGGATATGTGTTTCCGATTCGTAATTCTATGGCACAGGAAAGAAGCTTGCTTATGGGTCAGCAGGTCAGCCTTTTGTACTGGGTTAAATGTACAGCACGTTTTAAAGGAAAATTTTGTACGCGAGGCAAAATAAGTGTTGAATCTAGATATGCAAGACCCTGGTGCCAGAAACGAATCCCTCTTGAAAGAAGCTTTTGTCTTTTGTCTTCTGCATTTAGGAATTTATAGCCGCTTTATAGCTTTATTCGTTATGTAATACAGGTGGTGGAAGTCTGAATAGTGTAATTTTAGTGGTATTTATATACAAAAAAATTGGAAAAACGAGCTTACTTTGTACTTCAGAATTCCATACATAGTTCCCTAAAACGAAAACTAAGGAGAGACTGAATCGGTGAAATCACTGTTCTACGTAATTTACTGGTTTATGTGCAATGGAACATTTTGATTGGCCAATATGACTTTTGTTCTAATGACCACTAAGGAAGCGCAACCAAAATCTTATTTACATAGACTCCACCCTTCTATGACGACAGTGGATAAAATTAACCAATAAAAGCACAGCACTTTTGGAACCCTCATTTGCATATGAGCTCTATAAGTATAGCGCAACCGGGCGGTTTATGGTGTAGTCTGTGTTCCTTTCTGTTGGCGTCTACTGCAGTTGTACGCGGAGAAGGAAAAAATGCCAGATCCGGCGAAGTCTGCTCCTGCTCCAAAGAAGGGCTCGAAAAAGGCTGTAACAAAGGTGCAGAAGAAGGACGGCAAGAAGCGCAAGCGCAGCCGCAAGGAGAGCTATTCAGTGTATGTCTACAAGGTGCTGAAGCAGGTACACCCCGACACCGGCATCTCGTCCAAGGCCATGGGCATCATGAACTCCTTCGTCAACGACATCTTCGAGCGCATCGCCGGCGAGGCGTCGCGCCTGGCGCACTACAACAAGCGCTCGACCATCACGTCCCGCGAGATCCAGACGGCCGTGCGCCTGCTGCTGCCCGGGGAGCTGGCCAAGCACGCCGTGTCCGAGGGCACCAAGGCGGTCACCAAGTACACCAGCTCTAAGTAAGGGACGCGACAGATGAACTATTCCCCAAAGGCTCTTTTCAGAGCCACTTCAGTTACCAGGAAAGCGGCTGTAAACACTAACTAGCCACTGGCTTTTTGCTTAGGGTGCTTTCGTGGCCAAGAGTATTTTGGAGGTTCTCTGTAGTGTAGTTTAATAATAGCGTTCAGTTAAATGAGTTTTACTAGCAAACAACGAGAACTCAACTGAAAATAGGCTTCATTATTTCTCAGGAGTGTTCATCCCCCCACACTCCCGGGAAACCGGGGACTGATGTGGTAGAGTTGGAAAACCCGCCTGCGTTTCCAAATTGGTTACATCTCTGAAAATGAGCAAGCTGTAGTTTATTTTCTGTAGTGGAGACAGCCTTAAATTTCTCCCACTTAGTGCTCCTGTGTTTCAATGTTTCTTCCTGTACCTCTAAACATGTCACAAACTTGTATGTCAATAAATTGACCTAGGCATCTTCCCTTGATTTCTATTCCAGTGACATCAGGGAAGCTTTGCCTTCACCCCTTGGGAGGGGTGCATTTAATGGGTAGAAGCTGGAATACTGAACATTTTATAAAGTAGATTTTGAAAACATTGCCTGACTTAATTCTACAGAGATGGCGACCCGGGGTGCAATGATCTCCCTATCTGTCAAAATGTTATCCCAATTTATTTTTAGATTTTTGAGACATGGTCTTGCTGTATAGTACAATCTGGTTTTGAGCTGGAGATTCCTGCCTCAGCCATGAATGCTGGTCTTAGTGGGATGAACCATTAGACCTGGCCTAATGCTCAGATTAGTCAAACCTCTCAACTCCAACCTGTGTTTCCACTGGTAGAAAGCTGAACTTTCCATAGATTTACTGTGATGGTTTACAGATAATCTACCCAGGGAAACGTCTCTTCCCAGGGCAAGAACCCGTCTTCCGTCTGTAATAAAATTTCAGCATTCTAAGAATCTCAGTTGTTAAGGGTACTTCTCATTGTCTCAGTTACTCTTCTCATTGCTGGGACAAATACCCGACACGCAAAACGAAGGAAGGAGGGGTTTCTTTATCTCATGGTAACTGGAGGTTTCAGGCCATACTCAACTGGCTCCAAGGCAGAGTGGCACATGGCCGAGAGCAACGTTTCATGGCAGCGGCAAAGAGCAGAGAGCAAACTGGAGGAGTAACAGTGACAATGGCAACTGCAACAGAGAGCAAGTCTGTCTCTGTTTCTCTTATATCAGGCTATCCGTCCTAGGCTGGTGTAGCACTCACATAATCCCAGCAGTACTCAGAACCATAATCCCAGCCTTGGATCATGAATTAATCACAACTGTAGAACTGTAGATCAGAGGATTTGGGGGAAAAATACACACAAACCATAACATGAAATTTCTTGATTCAGTTAGATTGTAAGTGGGGCCTAGGGAGGTGATTGTGTGTGTGTGTGAATAGGTTTTGGAGGTACATCTCTGTATCTGGTCAAGATCCTCAAATGTTAACCTGTTGGTGTGTCAGAGCCCTTGACTGAGAAACATGAGAAAGGAAACAATTTGAGGATGAGTGAAGAAGAAATTTATGGTACACAAAAGTTAATATGTGGGGCTAGTGAGATGGCTCAGTGGTCTAAAGCACCTACTTAGAACAAGCTTAGCAAAGCACAGGGACCCGGGTTCAATTCCCCAGCACCACATGCCAGCCAGCCCCGCCCCCTGGTGGGCTGAACTGGCCACACACACACACACACACACACACACAAATAAATAAATAAAATTTAAAAAAAAAATCTAAAAAAAAGTTAATATGTGGAGTGAATTTCTGAAGATTCAGTTCAAAACCTTGACTTATCTGAACAAAGGCTAGTGTATGTTTATTTTACCAAGTAAATCTGCCTTTGGGGCCACGGTTCCCTTTTAATGAGCTTTGAAGTGAAGTCGCTTCTCCATTGGAGATTGAACCCAGGACTTGAACACGTGCTAGGCAAGTGCTCTATCACTGAGCTACACTCACAGCTTTTAAATTTTACTTGGAGACAAGATCTCACTAAATTGTCTAAGTGTCCTCAAACTTGTGATTTTTCCACCTCAGCCTCCAGAAGAGCTGGGATTGCAAATGTGTGCCACCTCACCCCACCGAAATGAAGCCATTTGGATAAAGGAGGAATTTACATGACAACTTTGTGTTTAAAGTAAATTTGATTTTATAACATAGAGGTTCAAATTTATACTCAATTAAAAGTCAAATAAAATGTGCCATATATTACTTCTTTCATTGGAAATTTTAGATTCTCACTGAAGTCATCTTTCTCTGAAGACTGCCAGACAAGAGGCCAGAGTAAGATGACTCAGCTGAGAGCTTGTCAGAAATAAAATGTTTAAGTTACGTTAGTTTCTATACTGGTGACAACAGTCAATAGTACTGACCCTGAAATAATTTAAATAAGTAGGGATTTGGGATTAAATTCACTGACCATTGTCACATTTTTGAGTTTCCTTAATCTTAGGCTGTCAACTGAAGGGATTATAATTGTTATCTTTAAATTTGCTTGACATGCATATTTCTAATCCATTGGCTCTTTTAGGAGGTTTTAGTCTATTTTGCTCTTTATACTGCTTCTAAATTAGCTTATATGAAGATTTTTAAATATGCAATGATTTATACTGTGAGAGCTCTAAGCAGGTTTGTGGACAATAATGATTGTAACTCCCCCATATGTACTCTATATTGTTCCTTGATTCTGACAAGATTACCTTTTCTGGATATAGAAGAGGCCAGAAAAGAAGGAACCCAGGTGACTTCGGCTCCTGTAGGAGCACACAGCATGCTGGCAGGCAGCTCAGAGGCCGCAGAGGTGCAGGTGATTCTTAAATGTCTCTCCATCACTCCAGAGCTGTTTCTGCAGCACTCACAACAGGGACTCTGGTTCTCCCCACTTTGCCCATTTCTCCTCTTATCATTCTTGCTGCACTGCTCTGAGACTCAACCTGGAGTCCCAGATTTGTAGCCTGAAAGCTAACTGAATGACTTTGAGAAAGTTTTTTCTTTAACTCCCAGTTTCTTCCCCTGTGAAAATGAGAAAAATAACAGAGCCCACCTCCTAGGCTTGTTATGAGGATTAAGTGAGATAAGGTTCTGACAGCACTGTGTACAGTGCTGGGGACATCCTAGATACTTGACGAATGTTGATAAATATTACAGTTAGCAAGGCATTGCATGCTTGCCCTTGCACCTCTGGAGCCCATTTCCTTTCCCAATAATGGAGATTTTATAGATTTCTAGTGCCTTGAAAGTCACTTTCCCCAAGCATCTTATTATATTAGAGCGCAAGAACTTCTTTAATTCTAAAAACATCACCAATAAGGCATTTCCTACAATTTATTTGCAGACTGTTGATTCTGTAGCTGCTATGTGACTCAATAGGGAAAAAAATGAAGTAGGAAACAGACAAGAGCTTTACAAAGTCTGCTATTAGTCTCAGTAAATGCCTGTGTATAGTTTATAGTTGTGGGGACTCACTCTCTTGGTGGTCTCCAGAAGAAAACAGCTTGAGGAGATTTAGAAAATCAAACCACAAGATAAGAGCTTAGGTCAGGTGGAGGTCTGTATATCTGATGGGCAAAAGATCTAAATAACAACACTGGGGACATTTATTTGTACTCTTGCCAAGTTAGTATTGCAAGATACAAGATTGCCTAGTGACTAATGACTGAAATTGTCCTGGTAGGATGCTTTTCTTGAAACTGAAGTAGCTTGACTGCTTTAGGCAATGTGGCCTGGTCCTGCCCTCTCAAATATGACCAATTCCCAGCTTCAACTACTCTCAACATTTGGTAAGCAATCTTTTTTTTTTTTTTTCAGACATGGTCTTATTATGTAATTTAGACTGGCCTTGAACTCTTGAACTCACTAGGTAACCTAGACTGGCCTTGAATTCACAGTGACCTTCCTACCTCAGCCTCCTGAGTATACCACTATGGCCAGCCAGTAAGCATTGTTTCTGTTTTTAGTTTTTATTTATTTTTGAGATGAAGTTTTTCTGTGTTGTCCAGGCAGAACTCACACTCCTGCCTCAGCCTCTTGAGTAGTTAGGAATACAGATATAAAAAGCTCCTCATGGCTGCAGATATTTTGAAATGACTTCTCCCGCCTGATGTTTGTAATATTTTATATCAATGTTTTCAGAAAAAAAACCCAACTTTCATTAAAAATCTCTTTCTTGTTTCTGATTTTTGAACTGAAAATTCTGTATTTTGAAGGTTTAACACAAAAGCAAGCCAAGTGAATGAATTTATCTGGAACACTTAGATAATTTCTCTCTGACACTATATTTTATCTAGTTCTGCATGTCTGCCTACCCAAGACTCATAATTTGTGGAACAATGAGCAGGAGAACAATAAGCTGATTAATTAATTAATATATTGTACATATTGAATATCTTGGTTACTTTTCTCTCATTGCTGGGATGAAATAACCAACACCCCACATTAAAGAAGGAAAGGTTTATTTAGCTCAGTTTGTGGAGATTCTAGTCCATAATCAGCTGGCTCCATGGCAGTGTGGCCCATGTCAGAGTTCATGGCAGTGAAAAACAGCAAGAGCAGAAAGGGAGGAGCAGAGGCAGCAGCTTACCTCTCTCCCCCTTTCTATATTACCTTCAGGCTATCTGCCTAAGGGCGGGTGTAGCACACCCGTAATCCCAACAGCATTTACACCCATAATCCCAGCACTGAATCATGAATTACAAACTCTAGAGTCTTCCCCATGATTGCATGAGGCTTTGGGGGGACAACTAGACACAAACCATAACATTGGATTAGGCCCAATAAGGGAACAATCATGTTTGTTTCATTTCTTGGTCTTCTTCTCTTTTCTCCTTGTGTTATAAATCTTCTTCTTCTTCTTCTTCTTCTTCTTCTTCTTCTTCTTCTTCTTCTTCTTCTTCTTCTTCTTCTTCTTCTTCTTTTTTTTTTCTTCTTCTTCTTCTTCTTCTTCTAATGTATTTGGTTGTTACAGGGTCTCATTACACAGCTTGGACCCATAGTGATCCTCCTGTTTTCAGCCTCCTCAGTGCTGGGATTACAGGTTTAAGCCATTACATCTCTGGATTCTGTGGCCAGCTCAGGCTGCTGTGGGGGTGGGCTGGTGTGGCATGTGGTACAGGAGATCGAATCATGGTCCCTATGCTTGCCTAAGCAGGCACTTTAGTCCACTGAGCTATCTCGTTGGCCCCTATGTTACAAAACTTTGAATGATTTTGTTTATCTAAGCCTTCTGGTAAGAATACTTTTCCTGAGTCTTTTAAGGTAATTGAACTCTGACTTCCATATTTTTTCTTGTGAGTATCAAAGTATTAAGTGATAGAAATTATTCTTAAATGCCTCCTCCTTCCTTTTTCCAGACAGTAAATACATGTAGAGAACAATATAATCTTAGGATTAGCAGAAGACTTAACCAACATAAAACTTAAATTCCAAGCTGTAGCCTAGAGAGAGAGAGAAAAAAAAAAAAACTACTTGTGATTTCTTTTCATTTGCATA